AACATTCATCTGTATCCCTTTTTTTGTTTAGTTCTGTCATTTGAATATTATAGGTGTGTTAACTCGTATGATAGAATGCTGCTCATGGGACCTACCTGGGATAGGCGAGTCCACCCAGAGAAAACACAGACAGCATTGCCAGCCAGAGGGGAGCGGAGGGGTGTGGCTGGGTGGGGAGCCTGGGAGAGAATGCTGTCACACTTGGGGGCCACCGCACCATGCTGTGAATGTGCCAAATGCTGTGAGTCCCAGTGGTTAAGGTGCAGAATTTAGGGTCGAATTTAGGGTCTATGTATGCTACTGCCTTGTTTGTAAATTGACTACAAAACAACCACTTGAGGGGTGAATGACAAAAGAAAAGTCCTTCCACCCTGCTGAACCTTAGTGTCCCCATCTGCTGAGGAGGGGACCTGACAGATGTCACGTTATGGTACACTGTGTCTTTGGGAAGGGTCAGGCCAAGGAAGGGCTGCATCCCTGTCTTGGGGAACTGCCTCCCCTGGGTCTTTTGCAGGGGTCACAGACAGGAGAAGGTAGCCTCTAGCCAAGAGGATTGCCCAGGCATGCTTCCTGGGGTGGGCAGCATGGGGAGACTCTGCAGACAACCTTAGCCCAGTAGCCCACACGTCAGGAGCTAATGAGTGTCAGCTTCTCGTAGGCCCAAGCTGTCTCCACATGGCGCTTGCCCAACTGGCCTGTCCCTGGTGCTCCGGCTCACAAGAACACATCAGGCTGCCGCAGATCATATTTTCAGCTCTGGGAGCCCGGTCTGAGCAATTGGGCACTCTAGATTTAATTCTGCAGGTAATTTGAACTATGCTATCTAATTTCAAATGTCCCTGCTCTTATGAGTGCAAAAGCAGCATAATTTTTAATTAGTGGGTAAACAGTAAATAATGAATGGCAGTAAGTGGACACCACTGTTAATTAAAAAACCATGGTTTATAAAAATCAATTTGGTCCCTGCATTTTAACTGAGTCCATCAGGTCCCTGTAAAAAGTTGTACACCCAACCACAGCACCACGTGGCTCCAGTCGTTTTTCTGGGGAGGGGGGTGGGGTAGAAAGCATGGGAGGGAAAAAACCCAGGAGAAAATCAAAGCCTGCCCCCAAAGCACCAGTGGAGCAAGAGTCACGGAATTATTTATAATTGGCTGAGTTTATTTTTGCCACCTTGAAGTAGAGGTTCACAAACGGCCAAGAGGCAGCTCAGTGCTCAACTGGGGTGTATCTACCAGCAGTGTCTGAGGTTGTGTGTGTGTATGTGTGTGCATGTGCATGTGCGTGTGCGTGTGTGTGTGTGTGTGTGTGCTGAAGGCAGAGGATCTGTATCATGCGCCAGTCTGTGGACATAATTAAGCCCTAATTTCTTACAGGAAAAAAAAGATAAAAATAATATTTGAGGTTTCACAACAAAACACAGCATTTCCACCATCTCTCCTCAGTGCCTTTGGAGGGGGCGGGGCAGGAAAAGGGTTTGTTTTCTTTCAAATAGAAAACATTTCCTCACAAAACCCAGTTCCATGGAAACAATGAGAATATAATTTTCAGGGTCCATTTGCTGTTTCACTCTGAAATGTAGGCTTGATTCTTCCTACAAGGCAAATAAGGCTGACCCCTTCTGGTCCTCGCCTTCGCTCTGCTTCGATCCACTCTCCAAATCAACACTTTTAGACAGATTTCACTGACACTGGTGATGTTCGAATTAACCTGCAGAATTGAATCCAGGGGACCCAGCGTCTTCTGACGAAGTTGGCTGCCGAGGAATCCACACGTGCGTGGCACTGACTCGTTGAGCCCGTCTCTCCAATTCCGGGAGGTGTGTGGGATGGGGCCAGCGCGGATGTGCACCCCACCCACGATCATGTCCTGGCTTAGGTCCCTGAGGTACCTCCACTGTGTGTGGCTTCATGCAGAGTGACCCAGCTTGACTCTTCCAAAGCTATAACACCCTCCAAGCTGCCCGAGTGACAACACGTGCATTCAAGCCCCGGCTACAGGTCCATTTTCATTCCCTTACTGGGCTCACTGACACCATTAGGTCACTGGCCCAAGAGCACAGGGCCACAGTGCTGCCTGGCGCCTTCACCCATCCACTCACTGTAAACGCAGCCAGCTTGGCAGCACCTGCAGTCTGGGTCTCCAAATGAGTCCCTGCGCCCTCCCTGGGGGTGAAACACACATAGCCCAATTCCAGCAGCCTAGGTTGTGTCCCACTCGGGGATCCCAAACTCTGGGGGAGCTGAGCCTAGTGTTTCTGTGCCTGAGGAGGGAGATGGTGCTGATGCCTGGCTTTCAGGGTTGTGGCAGACAGGGGAGGCAACAATGTATAAAAATGTACAGAGCAAACCGGGTGTAGTGGCATGAGTCTGTAACCCCAGCATTTGCCCTGTTGAGGCAGGAGGATTGCCGAGTTTCAGGCCAGCCTTGGCTACATAGCAAGATCTTGTCCCAAAATAAAAAGCACACTGTTTGCGCTGGTGTCATCCATGTCTCTCCTGCCTTCGCAGTTCCCCAGGGAGGCTAGATGTTGCTCCCAACCACCAGCAAACAGGAATCTGCTCCACCTTATTTTCCTGAGAGGCCACTGAGGCAGTCTGGGGTTGATCTGTCCAAAAAGACAGCTCCAAAGAGGCAGTGAGGGCCCCTCGTTCCCCGAGAACTCCACCTGGGAAAGGGCACCAGGAAAGGAAGGGCCAGAGCTTGTGCTTCTCCACCAGCCCACAACCTCCAGTCCCTGGTTAGCTGCATCTTTGCCACATCTGTCACTCCCGGGGTTCAGCCTCTCTCCATCCACTCCAGCCACAGCTTCCCTCAAAGGACCAGGCTGGAAAGCCCATGCAGTGGTGGGGTAGCTGGGTCTGGGACCACTGTGAACGCACGCAGCCCATGGCTGTCATGTTTGGACACCACACACGCGTCCCAAACATCCTACTTCCTAGACTGTCTCAGTCCATCCCCTGAGAATGGGCAGCTTCTGGGCAAATCGCTGTTCTGCGGCAGCAGATCTTGGTGCTGCCCTCAAAGCAGAGCCTAGAAGATGAGCTGTCCCATGCTCTGGCTTGTCTGGGCCATGCACATCTAAAGGTCACCAGGAAGCCCAGAGCCCCAGGCAGCTACCTCGGCCGCTCACATCACCCTCCGACCACCTCTTTCCTGGAAGCACCAACTCCTGCCCAGACCCCCAACCGGGACAGGATGTGACCTGCAGGTGGCCTCCTGCCTGGGCAACTGCTGGTTGGCTGAGCCCTCATTCACTCACCACCCACGCACTGGGTGTCAGCTGAACACCAAGCACTGGTCAGAGGCCCACGGATGCCGCCGTGTGGCATTCACAGAGCAAGCGGGCGCGGGAGTAAGAAGGCAACTAAGTGGCTGGGACGGGTACAGATCTGACAACCACGGCCTCTTCGAGGGCGAGTGGTCCACTCTAGGGGGGAGCTGGGGTCCTCAGATCAGATTGCAGTGGTGCAGTCCAGGAGTGTAGGGGCCTTGGGCAGTACCCAGAGGGGTCGGCTGCAGCAGCAGCTCTGTGTAACAGCTGGGCACCTAGCAGTCTCAGGCCCTGAGCTGAATAATCTAAGGAGCCCAGCCTGGGACCTGGGCTGCCACCTTCGAGGCCTGCTTTCCCAGAGGCTCAGGGCTGGGAGCCTTGCTGCCTACCAAGCGGGGGCCCTGACTCGGGGGGACAGCAGGGGAGGTGGAGTGGACCTAGGGATCCCTGACCCCATGTGTCTGGCTTGCAGCAAGCATCTCCGAGGCCACTGGAGCCACACAGAGCAGCCGCCTGCTCTGGGAGCCCCGCTGCCCACAGCCAGTGTCCGAGAGTATACCTGTCACTGTGATCTTGCCCCCGCACCTCAATGGGCCCTGGATCTCCACTGGGTAAGACCCCCTGGATGCCTGATGGTGGGCTCCTAAGGTGGGAGGCATTTCCCTTTCTGAGCCTCAGTTGCCCCATCTGTGAAGTGGACCCAATTTCCCCCACTCCTGAGAGGCTCCACAGCTGTGAAACACATGGGCTCACTTTCCCTCCCTCTCCAGATGGCACCTGCGACAGGAGCCATAGAATAACAAGGGCACATGGGGTCTGCAGAGGGACATTCACTAAACATACAACCCCAGAAGTAAATACTATACATTTGAGAGTGTGGTCTGAAATGAAGGCATTCAAACTGAAGGTATAATAGCAAGAGACTGGGAGAGAGCGTGCTCAGGAGAGGCTTTGTGGGCGTGGCGACCTCCAGATTGGAGACTAAAATGAGTCTGTGTCACCATGGAAGAGCCAGGCAATGGACACAGCTGGAGCCAAGGGCCTGAGGTGGGAGGTGGCAGCCAGAGCAAGCCTGGGCATGCCTGCGCAATTCTCTTTCAGCCTGAAGGGCTCAGCCTGACTTTCAGAGGCCAGTGGCCCGCACCCCATCACCAAAGCCCTTGGCAGCCAGTGGAGGAGCCTACCTGCCTCCACTTCTCTTCCTCTGGACCTCCTTCTCCTCAGCCAGCCCCTTTCTGGGGCCAAAGACTAGACCCTAGTGTCCTCCATGTGCCTCCTGAGCTCATGCAGAAACCCTCTTGCTAAGCATCCACAAGCACCTGGGGAGGAGGGGCTGAGTGCCACACAGAGCCACTGTGCATACATCCCCCAGCTCTGCAGCCCAGCCCTCAGCAGTCCTGGTGCAGTCCAGGCCCCCAGCACCACATAGTCCTGAGGCAGCACCGAGGTTCCGGGAGGGGGCACCCGGATATAGGCAGCAGCTCCGGTCCCACGACCACAGCACACTGGAGCAGTTCTCAGAAGCTTTTCGCAGGGTGCTCTTCCTAGGAAGTTCCCTTCCTGTGCACTTCAACAGGCCTACAGCCTCCTGCGAGGAGAGCAGGCTCCAGGGCCTGGAACCTTCCCCAGGATGTCCAGTGTGACCTGCTGCAGCCTGGGCAAATCAAATCTCCCTGCTCTCCAGGCCTTGCCAGAAGCAATCAGGGACATGGGGGACCCCTCTTCTTTTTTGCAGTATTTAGGATTGAACTCAAGGTCAGGGTCCTGAGCTACATTCCCAGCCCTTTTAAAATTTTGAAACAGGATCCCACTAAGTTGCTAAATTGCCGAGGCTGAGCTTGAACTTGTGAATCTCCTGTCTCAACCTCCCACGGTGCTGGGATTACAAGCATGTGTCAACACACCCAGCTTCCCCTCCCTATTTTTAAACACCACCTGTTCTGGTATTTGCTCACTATTTTTCTTTAAACCAACTTGCTTTTATTTACTTAAACATCTTCATTCATTTTTACAGCTTTATTGAGGTATAATTGGCGCACAGTAAACTGCACCATCTACACTGTAATATAATTATTTTTAAAGGAAACATAATATCACCCTGGATACAGAGAACAGAGCCACTTGCCATAAATAAGAAGGAACCATAAAAAGAAACTCAGTGAAACAAAACAGCATAATTAGAGTCTCTCTAGATTAATGGCCTACCTAAGACTCCAAGTCTGTCTCTCTGGGGATAAAAAAAAAAAAAAAAGAAAGAAGGAAAGGAAGAAGTTGGTGTTAAAGATGCATTAACTGTGAACACAGACTTTCTCCTTAGCATTAGCCACAAGATGGAAAGAAAAGGGAATTCATGCTGCGTGATAACTATTCCCACTGCTCCTGCAGCCTTGGTACTAAAACACAGGGGAAAATAGAGTAGGTAGGTGGGACCTGATTAGTGCAAAATTGTGAGTAGGGGTTTATCTACCATCCGTCCCACCTAAGCCTGGGAAAGTCCCTGGGCATGACTGTCACTCCTAGGAGTCTTTTGGCATCCCTTTCTCTTCCCCTGGAATTGTTCTTCGCATTATCAACAGAACAGAGCCCGGGGGCCAATGCCTGCCCACCACCTGTTTTTATAAATAAAGTTTTATTGACACAAGACCAGGCCCATTCAGTGACAGATCATCTGCGGCTGCTTTAGCTGTACAACTGCAAACTCGAGTGCTTCCACCTGAAACCATCTGGCCCGCAACATCAAAACATTTACGATCTGACCCCTTTGCAGAGAAAGCTTCCCAGAAAGCCCAGCACAGATCCCAGGTTAGAGAAGTTAATATATCAAAGAAAGGGGAGAGGAGGGGAGACTGCTAGCAATGCTTTCCTGGGCTTCACTCATTCCTCGATCTCTTAGGAAGGACCCAGGGCATGACCAGTGTGTGCAGCTCTGTGCCAGGTTCCAGAACCCAAGGGGGGAAAGCCAGGGTGCTACCCCCTGAGACCACAGTGTCATGCCTACTCCACCCCCATGGTGGCCAATGCCCCAGAATCCAACAGAAGGAACGCTACAGTGCAGGCCACAGGGCATTGTATGGAAGCCCGCCAACCCGAACAGCGCAGCTACCTGCCCAGCTCTACTCAGGCCCAAGCTCAGGGGGCTGGAAGGCAGGCTGGGGGCGGGGGGGGGGGGTCCGGGGCTGGTGCTCACTGCTCTACCCCACTTGTGTATCCTCTCCCTGGCAGCTGCGAAGTGCGCCCGGGACCAGAGTTCCTTACACGCTCCTACACTTTCTACCCCAACCGCCTCTTCCGCGCCTACCAGTTCTACTACAGGGACCCCTCGTGCCAGGAGCCTACCCACTCGCTGCTCATCAAGGGCAAAGTGCGCCTGCGCCGGGCCTCCTGGGTCACCCGGGGTGCCACGGAAGCTGACTACCACCTGCACAAAGTGGGCATTGTCTTCCACAGCCGCCGTGCCCTGCTTGATGTCACCAAGCGCCTCAACCAGACTTGGGCAGACCAGGACTGCATGGCGCGGCTGCCGCGCGCCCCAGCCTGGCTGCCTGGAGCACTGTACGAGCTGCCGAGCAGCCGGGCCCAGCGGCACTGCATGGCGGAGATGGGCTTCAGCATGCACGAACTCAGCCTGGTCCGCGTGCAGCGCCACCTGCAGCCACAGCCCGGGGCTGCACCCCAGCTGGTGGAGGAACTCTACCTAGGAGACATTCACACGGACAGGGCAGAGAGGCAGCACTACAGGCCCACAGGCTACCAGCACCCACTGCAGAGCGCCCTGGTGAGTCTGGGCCCCTGGGAAAGGAGCTCTGGGGCCTGCCTAGCAGGCCCTGCATGATTTTGTCCCTGCTGAGTTCCTGTGTGTACGGCTCCCATCACTGCCCTTTACACTGGTCTGCGCACACTGCCGTTCCCTCCACTTGAGACGCCCTTCCCAGGGTTTTACAAGACGACCTTGCTATTGTGCTTCTTGTTGCTGTTGCTGTCTCAGAAGGCAACATCAGTTTGGTCCTGCCACCCCCAGGCCTCATGACCCATGGCCCAGGTGTGGGCCCTGTAGGCCCTGCACGACCCATTTCCACCTCTGCCGAGCACGAGGCATGGGCGGGTTTCTCCTTTTCTTGGTTCTTCAATCAAATGTCCCCTCTGGCACTAGACCCTTTACAAGGGCAGGAACTTGGCACCAGCTGGAACAGAGTGTGGCTCCTGGTCAAGGCCAACAAATGTTGGCGAATCGATGAGGCAGATGGCACCTCTTCCTGGCTCTGCCTGGGCTGCGGCATACCCTCTAGGGAGGTCTTCTGCTACACACCCCCACACCTTGTTGTGTGTGACTGTGTGAACCCCAGGTGCTCACGACAAGGGCCTGGGAGAGTGCAGGACCAATCTAGAGAAAGCCTAGGAGAGCTTTTTTTGCCTGGTGGACAAACAGGCAGAAGGAAAGTTGTCTTCATGGGACTAGTATGCTCCTGACACATAGCCAGGCACGTGTGGGCTTCTCGACCTTACGTCTAAGCCAAAGAGGGCAACTTCCCGTCCTCAGAAAACCCTGCTGGAGGCCGGTGAAGCCTAAGAACCTTCCCTCCCTTCTGAAAAACACTTTTTAAAAGCATAAGATAAAAATATATTGGATTTAATGGAAACCAATCCCATTAAGATACAGTAATGTAGTTACTGAAGTCTTACGCATGAATGTGTGACACAGAAATACTAAGAATAGGAGTTCTTTTCTCACCCTCATGGCCAAGCAGTGATGCATGTCAACAGTGTTCCCTGTGTCTGTGACACTGAGGACACTGCCAGAGATTCTGCGGGCTCGGCCGGGGCGTGCTGCCCACCGCCTCAGTTAGAAGACGGCTGAGCTCTAGTGAAAGGTTAACGGCCGTGACGTTGAGGTTAGGGCTGTGGCTTAGCACCTTCCACACAAAGCACCCAGGGAATATTTTTTCAAAGTGCAAATCAATAGAGACACAGAGGAAGGGATGAGCGTAGCCAGCCCCATCGTGTACCCTCGGAGCCCTGGGCCCCTCAGCGCATACTGAGTGTCCACTGTGTATGAGACACTCAAGACTCTAAGCCAAGCAGGGCCACCTCTCACCCATGGGTGTGGCCACTTGTCCCAGCCCCAAGAGGCAGGCCACTGGGGCGGAGACAGACCCAAATCCACTCAGCTTCTGCCTCCTCTCCTACTCCCTTCCTCAAACCCAGGATCTATGCAGCACAGAAGGGATATGACAAGTTTTTCTCTAATCAGAAAATCAGCCTCAGGGTTCTTAGAGTGGCCTGGAAATTATTCCCTTTTCAGCCAAATGTTCTGGGCTGCTGTGGTGTGCATCCTACATGGAGAAGAAGGCCCTGGGGCCGAGCTGCTTGCGGGCTGTCGCCTCCCCCTCAGGAGGGGAAGCTGCTCGGAATGCAGAGGGCTGCCAGGGCTGCCGGTTGCATCCCCGCTCTCCCCGCTGTGGCCTGCGATGTGATTGAGAAGCAAGACACATAGGAATGTGTGCACGGCTGAGCAGGGCCAGATGTACAGACATTAAATTAAACGTCCGCTCAGAAACCCCTCCAGAGGTGGGAGATAATTTCAGAGAAGGAAATACTGCAGATAAATCCCCAAATAACGAATTAGTTGTTACCTTATGCTCTCTGGGACCCAAGCCTTGTCCACAACCCAAACCAGATGGTAAACATGAACATTTTTAAAAGTTAATTTAAAACCAATTTGATCCCCACATTCATTGCCTGGGTATGGAATCCTAATCAATCAGCCAACACACAACCAAACTCGTCGGAGCTAGTGTCACCTCTGGGGGTTAATTAGAAACTGTTATGTTCTGTTTGAGAAATAACTTTATATAACAGGCTTAAGCCAGTAAGAGTTTGGCTTCCACACAAGTGTGAATTTGGCTGGCTAGGGCCAAAAAGAAGGCCTTGTTTATTAACCTGTGCAACTCCAGGCCTCTGCAGAAGGGCGCCTGAGAGGGGTCTAAAGGCAAGGGAGTGTTGTTTCGCCACCACCTTCAAAAGTTTCCAACATGTAACCCCAGCTCCTTGGGAGGCTGAGGCAGGAAGATTGCAAATTCAAGACCAGTGGAGGTGATTTAGTTTATCTCAAAATTTAAGAGAAAGAAAGAAAAAACACAGCTAGGGATATAGCTCGTGTATCTTTGGGTCTGGACCACAGTATTCCACCTCCACCTCCCAAAAAGTCGCCTAAAAGGAAGTATGTTAGCCAGTTTGGTTTCTGCTGTGCCAAAGCCTCTTCCGCAAGTTATCCATCATACCCCAGCCTCCCCTCTGCACGGGTGTCTATGCCCGTGTGCCCAAACATTGTTATTTTGATATAATGCGTTACGTCCTGTCAATTAGTGTGACAACAGCCGGGTTGTGGGTTAAGAAGCCTAAATTAGAGTGGACTCTTAGCCCGTCCCAATCACCGACAGCTAGGCTAAGGGAAAGCTTGTGCCTCTCCCATGGGCACTACCACAGCCACTGACTCGCACTCCAAATACCTCCCAGCTCTCTGGGAAAGAGTCCCCCAAAGCAAAAGTGACGCGGTCTCCCGAGCTGTGGAAATCAAGGAAAGGCTAGATTCATCATCGAAATAAATAATAAAAGCTTTTAAAATGTGTCAATCCAAAAGAAGAAAAGTAGGTAGACTGTCCCTCAATCATCCAATATTTGCTTCCTAACCCAGGCCAGTGCCACTTGTTTTTGGCATAAACCCGACCCAGCAATAATCTGTGAAGATCTTTTAAGGGTTGTTTTTCTTTTCTTTTCTTTTGCATAAAACTATATATACTAGAGCTAGTTTCACAGCTAGGCTCCCAAATGCCCCCTTTCCCTCTGGACACTGATTTTCCCAGGGAATGGTGAAAGCAGGGGAATCTGGTCATTCCCAGGCCAGCTTTGACAGGTGGCTCTTCCAAAGCCATTTGTCTTTCAGAACAATGTCTTGGACTTAATTCGAGGCCACAACTCCCTTTAAGAAAAAAAAAAGAAAGAAAGAAAGAAAGAAAGAAAGGAGAATGTCAGTGTTGGTATCTTTTTGGCTTCTGCTGGGTTTTTTTCACTCCACAATGCAGACTGACTACTCCCAAGAAATTTGATTTAACATCTGCTTCCTGTTGATGTGTTTTACTGTAAATCTACCTCAGGAGAATATGGAAAGTTGGAAAAAGAAGGCCAAAGAGAGAAAAACCAGATCAGGGCCTGGGGTAACCAGAGGCTGCAACAGTGCCTGAAACCTTAAGTGGACCTGTTTTTCCCTGTTATAAATGACACCAGAAGGGACAACTTGGAGCTCTTAGAGTTTAAGTTACAATTTAGCTACTGCCTTAAGAGCACTTGAGGCAACAGGGTTCCAATGGCCTGGACATTCTGACCACCTTTGGCCTTCACTGCCATGGTCAATTGCTCACCTTCCAACCAGAGACTTCTACAGACGAAGCTCTCGTTCTCCTGGGAGTGGGGCCACGTGCGTGGAAACCCAGCATTCTGGGAGACTGGGGGAGAAGGGTCCCAAGTTTCAGCCCATCTTGGGCAATTTAGTGAGGTGGTGAGACCCTGCCTCCAAATAAAAAATAAAAAGGGTTGGGAATACAGCTCAGTGTGAAGGCCCTGGGCTCAGTCTCCAGTTGGAAGGGAGAGAACGAGGGAATCAAAAAGAGAAAAGAAAAGCCTCTATCCTGTAGCGGAAACAAACTGATGGGAAGTTTTGGCACAAAAATGTCAGGGCTTGGGCCCTTAGCCTGTCTGGATTTCGGCTTCCTCCCCTAGGTGAGGACAGATAACAGTCTCTCCAGATGAGAGACCAGCATAGTTCTTAGGAAGTGCTTCAGAGAGTGGGGGGCTTACGAACAGTAAAGAGAAAGAGCAACTCTAAAAGTCCAGTTTCAGGAGCAGGCAGGCTGGGCAGGAGAGAGACAGCGCCCAACTCCAAGGCGCATGCCCACCTTCACCCCCTTTGCTTTCCATTCACTCACTCAACAAGCTGGTGTCTTGTCAGCCAGCGCTGTGCTAGGCAAGGAAGACAGAGGAGCTCTGGGAGCCGTCAGTGGGGTTAGGGATGGCGGGGAGTGGTGTGGCTGCTAGGGGATGCGACAGCCCCAGAGGCCACTTTTGGGCCGCTCTGCCTTCTGGCAAAGACCTGAGAGAGGACAGGAGCTGCTGGTCCTGGTAGCCAGTCATCCGGGCAGGAGAGACTGCATGTGCAAGGACCCTGGGGAAGGACAGCAGCGAGGCCACTCTGCATAGAGGCCAGGAGGGCGGGGGAGAGACCCTCGGAGCGGAGCCTGGGGTCCCTGCCACCTTCCCGGGGCCGGGACAGTGACTCTCTTCCGTTTTCCCCGCAGCACCACGCGCAGCCCTGCCCCGCCTGTGCCCTGGTGGCCCACGCTGACGAGCACCACCCGCCAGTGTTGCCCTGGACCCGGGCCCTGCCGCTGCGCCTGAGCGGCCGCTGGGTGAGCACAGGCTGCGAGGTGCGCCCCGCCGTGCTCTTCCTCACGCGGTTCTTCACCTTCCATGGCCATGGCCGCTCCTGGGAGGGCCGCTACCACCACTTCTCCGACCCCGAGTGTCGCCAGCCCACCTTCACCGTGGTCGCAGCCGGCAGCTATTCCCAGGGCGCGCCCTCTGCCACGGTGCGCGGTGGCACCGAGCTGGAGTTCGAGGTCACGCGCGCCCGCGTGACACCCATGGACCCAGCCACCGTGGCCCTGCTCAACGCCTCCGAGCCGGGCAGCTGCGGGCGCCCCGGGGCCTGGGCCGTGGGCGTCGAGCGCGACGTCACGGCGACCAACGGGTGTGCAGCGCTGGGCATCCGGCTGCCGCACGTGGAGTACGAGCTCTTCAAGGTGGAGCGCGACCCCCGCGGGCAAAGCCTGCTCTTCATCGGACAGCGGCCCTCGGACGGCTCCAGCCCCGACACCCCTGAGAAGCGCCCCACGTCCTACCAGGCCCCCCTGGTGCTGTGTGGGGGACACGCCCAGGACGCCCCCAGGTCTCGACCGCATAGTGCCCCCAGCAGCGGGGACCTGTGTCCCAGAGCTGTCCCTGTCCCCCTTCTGCTCCTTGCTCCAGGGCTGGTCTTCCTCCTGGGGTTGTGACACCAGTTTTCCATCCAAGGCAGCGTCCCAGGAAGGATAGTTGTCCTTTGCCACCCTGTGGGAGCGCTGGCCGGCCTGGCCACCTCTCTTCTCGGCCTGTGTCCCCCATGGCTACCTGTGAGAACTGGTTGTCCCCAATGCGGGATGAAGCACACTGCTATCTAAGTTTCTAAACCCCCACCCCAATTTTTCCACTCCTTCTCTTGGGTAGTTGGAGGACAGGCACCAAGCAGGGCCACAAGAGTGTCCCTGCTCAGTGCTCAAGGCGCTCTCTCTTCCTTACCCTTGGGATTGTGGAGTGGGAATGGAAGACTCTGAGAATCAGCTGAGCCTGTGGGTTATGGCTTAAAGTTTATTAACTCTGATTTAGCAACAGAGACTCAAAACAGGGCCATGAATTAAAGATACCGCTTCAAGCTCTCAGTCCTTCTTGGCTTTCTAGTAAAGGGCTTGTGTCTTTGGGGCAACTTGGCTTCTTGAGTTCTGACCGTTGGCATTTGCAGGCATCTGCCTGTGCTTCTGCAAGTCAAACCTCAAGCTGTCGACACTGAGTGGGGATAAACCCAGTCCTCCAGTGCCAGCTTGCAAGAGGAGCCTGGGCCTCTGTGGCTCCCATGTGCGCCAGGGGAACACCAGGGAGCACCGGGCTGGCTGCTGCGGGCAGGTCCGTGGAGCACAGTGGCGTTCCCAGCCTTTGGAAAGTAATTAATACTAATGACAGCAGCAGCACCAACATGCTCTGTAATTAGCCCTGTGCCACCATCTGATTTTGCAGATTGTCTCTGCTGAGCTGACAAAGGAGAAGAATCTTTGGGGTTCAACTTTCAGGCCACCCTAGACGAGGCCAGGAACCCCTACAGGCCCAGGAAGCTTGGCCCACCCACCTGCAACACTAATGTCAGTGCCCTTGGTGCTGAGGGATCTGTCATGGCAGGAACAGGCTGTGCCCACATTCCCAGGCCTTGTCCGTACACTGTGAGAGTAACTGGCATGGTGGCAGGCTGGGGGACTCTGGGGACTGTGAGCTACTGATTCACCCTCTGTCTCTTCCCCATCCCTATCACTGACCCTTGTCCCAGACCTTGAAGAACTTCTGTAAGGCTGACACCTCCAAAGAGAGGCCTTTGTCCTCGCTGAGACTGTGGGGCTGAAATTGCTCCCACTTATCACCCATTCTTTGGGAGAAAATACCCTCCAAAGGCAGCTCTTAGGGGAGGTTGGGCTCCTTTGAATACTCCCCTCCCCCCAGGTCTCAGACAGCTACCCATGTCCCTGGCATATTTACCAAATTACGAGAAATAACGAAGTTATTTATGGTCTTAGGCTAAAGTGGGACCAGGAGCTCCCGGTGAGGAAGACGGTTCGTGTCGATGTCCACAGCTGAGCAAGTCTCGTATCTGAGGCTTGAGCAAACTGCGTCACCATTCATCATCAAATTTGAATTTTTTAATAAAATTAAACAGCCTGAAAAATGTTCTTGCTGGCTATTAAAGTCAACCAAGGGGATCACGGTCCTAAAGAAAGGAAGTGAAGTGGCCGCCAGAGGATGTGTGAAGGGGAATAAAACCAGTGGAGGGCAGCTGCTTCTTTTGCTGTGCCTTCTGGCCCGGCCCTACCCTGCCTTCCTATAGCTCCCCATGACCTTCCACTGCCCCCAGACAGAAGCCCCAGATCTGGCTGGCTGTCGCCTACCGGGTACAGTGCAGCTCTTCTTTCCTGGTCCACATGACCTTTCCATGATCTGAGCCTGCGCTGCCTCTGGGCCTTTGCACAGGCTCCCACCCCTGCAAACATCTCCTGGCTAAGACCTCCAGCTACTTGGTTCTTTCATTCAACTTCCAAGTCACATGTCATCTCCTCCAGGAGGCCTGCCATCAGCAACTCCCAAAGCAGCTCCCTTTCCCCTTGCCCTTCTACCTACCCTGTTTTATGTTGTGCTATAAAATGGTCTTACTTACTCACATTTGTTCTCTGCTTCTCCCACCTAGAAGGTCAGCACTTGGGGGAGGTCAGGCTCCTTCAAAGCCATCTCTCCAGTGGGGTCCACAGCGTCTGGTGCCTGCAGAAAGAGGCTCAGTGAACACTGCTGACCCGAAAGCCACTCGGAAACCTGTGAACGGGCCACCACCTCGGGCCAGATGTGGCACCCTGATGCTCAGAAGGGAAAGGTGCCAGCCACAGGCCAGCAGCACGCAGTGACCCAGAAACCCAGACTCCAGGCCCGAGCGGCTAGAACCCAGAGCCAGAGACCCAGGCTTTCTGTCTCACAGCCTCAGCAGCTGGGGGACCGGATCCTCCTCTGGGTCTGAAGAAAGTGGTTTGGGGCACTCTGTGGGAGCTGGCACAAGCCTTTTCCCACCAGGAGATGTGCTGAGCAGATACCCTGTCCGCTGCCGCCGCCACCACCGCCACATGGCTCCCTTTCTCTGTGGTCACCTGGACTGGGTGCTGGCAGTGCTGACCAGAACCACGAAGGCAGAGAATTGTGGTAGGGGTCAGCATCGCCCCACCCATGGGCTGAGGCAGCAGGGCTCATTCCAGCTCCCCCAGCCCCCCAACCCTGAGTCCCTCCCTTCCACAAAAAAAAAGAAAAAGAAAAAGTCAGAGAGCTTTCAGCCACAGAAAGCAAGTCCCAGCCCTGTTTCACAACAAAAACACAAATAATGTTCTCTATTGTCTGTTCAGTCACGTTTGGGGGTTGGGGGTGCTGTTGGTAATTTCACAGTGCAACTCCTGGGAGAGTAAACGAGCTTTGTTTTTAAATAAAAAGTTTAAATTGTATACAGCTCTCAGAGGCCCATTAACTAACAGATGCTGGTTATCGAAAGAAGTTTTCCCTTTGCCTTGCTCTAAGCGAGTGTGTTTAATCTCCCAGCGGTGCTACTGGGCTGAGCAGCAGCATGCGGCTGCTGGTGATGCGTGGCCCTGCTCTGTGCAGCCTCTCCCAGGGGCCGGGTGACTCAGGCATGAGCCAGCGCATCTGACGCAGGATGCAGAATTGTGTTAGGGCTGTGCCAGGGGCTGTGCCCACCAGCAGGGACAAGGCTGGGCAACCGCCCGAAACTGCTGATCGACTCCTGCTGGCCTCCAGGGGCTGAGGGCTGGCGCCTTTGCCTGCACGCTGCCCTTAGCTGGATGGTGGCAGGAGCACACTATCTGTACACACTTCCAAGAGTAAAGCTTTCAAGCTCTGAGAGCGCACTCCCTTCCCACTGCCTGCGGAGCTCTGCAGTCACACGTGCCCCCACCCACACCCCTTTCTTCTCTCTTCTGAATCTGGAAAGATCCTGTTTGTTAGTTTCCTCTCCTTTAGAAGGAGCTGACACTGGACCTTCCCGTCCCTCCTGGAGCCCTGCCTGCAGAACAACACCTGGCACCCAGAAGGAGTTTAGCAGATATAGGCCACATGGGCGGACATGCTAAGCCCGGGCCGGGGGCTCTGTGACCATAATGGTGACAACCACACAACCAAGTGCTGGCTTAGAATTTCCATGCTGCTGGAGCTTAGGCAGGCGTTCCCTCGTTCTCGTTCTTTCTCTCTCTCTTTCTCTCTCTCTCTCTCTCTCTCTCTCTCTCTCTCTCTCTCTCTCTCTCTGCCAGGGAGATAGCTCAGTGGCATAAGCACTTGTGTAGCAAGCACAAGGTCCTGAGTTCAATCCCTGGTTAAAAAAAAAAAAAAAAAAAAAAAAAAAAAAAAAAAAAAAAAACAGATCTGTGCAATGTATTTTTAAAAAAGAACTCAGACCTTGGGTTTCAGGATCTGTTTTGTATTGGCCTGGCTATTTCTAAAAGGGCATTAAGGACAAGTATTGTTCCTAAATAAAGGGCCCCAGGGCCTGGCCCAGGGTTCCTACAGTATCCCAAGCTTCTCATTTTACAAAGACTAGGGCAGCTGGGAGCCTCTCAGCCCCACACAAGATCAGATGTCTGGCCCAGTTCTCCCTGGTGACAAGAGCTGAAACCTGATAGATCCTGGAGGAATAGCCGTAAGCCAGGTCTCAGTGAGGATGGGTCTCTACCCAGTGCACATTATTTATTTCCTAGGGCTTATTCATAACCCACCTCTCTTCAGTTTACATTTGACATGTTTTAATCAGAAAAGAAAGTAACATAAAAGTAGCTCAGAAAAAAAATCAACACAATATAGATGGTCACTCGCCTTAAAATCATCTGTGTGTTTAGTAAGCATCAGGCACAGCTACTGAGCACCCATCAGATGCCGGGCTAAGGAGAGTGAGGAGCACATGCTCTCACCTCCTCTTCCAGCCCCAAGAAATTAGGAAGAAGCAACTGAAAGACACAAAAATCAGATGGCTAAATAGGAAAGACAAAAATGCAGCCAGCAGGATTCCATAAGCTGGACAACTGAGGGCAATTTGTTGAAAGCAGACTGCATTAAGTAAAGACCTCATTCTGCAGATCCCTCTATAGGTTTAGGAATCAGTAGCCAGGCATCCAGTGGGCAAGGAAACAGTGGGGCTAGAACAAGGCTGGCCTTACCATAGCTCACAGCTCTGTAGAAGGTAAAAGGGGTGGTAACTACCAGGTCCTCTCCCTAAGCCCTGTAAGGAACCAAAAGTTTAAAAAGAGATTTGAACTTCACCATAATCTAGGCCAAGCTATCATGCTAAAATATAGATAGAAAATAAAGTTTACACATTAAGGGTGACATGGCACTGCCTTGTTCTCCATGTAGCTTCTAGAGAAATGGTAACTAAGAGTACGTTGCTAAACAGATGCCCAGAAGACTTAAACCCTTTACCATCAAGCTGGGGGTGTAGCTCAGTGGTAGGGTGCTTCCCTGGTGCACATAAGGCCCTGGGTTCGATCTCTAGCACCATGAAAAACAAAACAAAGTAAAAAACCACCATTTCCCAGTTCCTTTCATAGAATAAGAACAAATAACTTAGACAGTGTTATGGTTTGTACCTAGGCATCCCCCCCAAAACCTCATGCAGTCATTGGGGCGGCTTCTAGAGTCTGTGATTAATTCATGATCAATGTGGGGACTGTGGATGTGAGCGCTACATTCAGCAGATAATCTGCATCCCAATGTAAGGAGGGGAGAGCAGCTAGCTGCTGCTGTAGCCACTGCCTTTGCTCTTCACTGTTTTCCTGCAGCCATGAGCTGGTGCCCTCTGCCAGGTGCCACTCTCTCTTGGAGCCCGCTGAGCATAGACTGAAAGCTCCGCTAAATAAGCCTTTTCTTCCTTACTTCTGGATGTCAGGTATTTTGTGCCAGCAATGACAAAAAAGTAACTGAGACGGACAACAAAAGTTATAATGTCCCTGGGGAGGTATATATAAATCAAATGCAAATTACTAGCAATCAATAATAGAAAAGAAAGAAATCATGAAAATTACAAATATTGCTAATGGAAAACAGTCAAAAGAAGATTGAAAATTAAAGCTGAAGCTGGCGCTGGTGAGGTAGCTCTGGAAAAAAAAAAAAAAAAAAGCTGAAGCTGGGCATGGAGATATACACCTGTAGTCCCAGCACTCTGGAGGCTGAGATGGGAGGATCACTGCAAGTTCAAGACTAGCATGGGCTACAAAGCAAGCTCAAAACTGCACAGCGAGATCCTGTCCCAAAAAGACAAAATAAATAAATAAGTAGCTGAAAAAAAAAAAATTCCCAGGGCCTTGGTGGCCACGCTGGAGCCTAGCAAGCTTGGTGAGCTCAGGAGAGGGAAGACCCTTGCATCCAGTTCCTAGGAATTGGCTGCCTGAATACAGGGCTTCCTCCCTAGGGCACTCCAATGAGCAGGACAGCCACCCCGATGGAGCCCGAGGGCTGGGATTTAGCTCAGTGGCACAGCATCTGCCTGCCCCGTAAGCTCCTAGGAATTTTAGATGTTGAAGACATTCCCTGTGCACAGGATTCAGTATTGTATGGTTCACTAGGATCTGTTGTGGCTGGACTTGGATACTTTTTGTTAACTAGCAGAATTAGAAGATCATATGCTGTTGGTATAGGAGGATTTATTGTGGTGACTTTAGGATGCTGGTTCCATTGCAAGTAAAATTATGCAAAGGAAAGAATCCAGGAAAGAACTGCCAGAAAAGGAAAATATTCTCTGGGAAAGCATCCACTTTGATCCTAAAAGAAAACAAACCAACAGCAGCAACTGAACAACTTCAACACAGAAAACCAGAACAAAACTCCTTGAAATTGGTGTGAACAATGCTGGGATCAACTACACAGAGTATCTTATATGGACAATCGAAAAGCCTCAATTGAGTAAATAAAATGTGTGTAAACTGTTAAAAAAAAAAAATCCTAGAAGTAAAAGAGAAAAGGGGGTTAGGAACTCAAATGGCATTAGATTTCTTAAGGGTAACACTAAAAGCTGAAAATCAGTGAAACAAGGCTTTCAAAATGCTCAGAATGGTTTTCAGCATTGTCTTTTATACCCAGCACAACTATCAACTCAAGGAGCAGGCAGAACAGTAAATTTCCAGATATGGGGACCTGTCAGAAAAATGATGTCCCACATCCTCCTGTTTTAGGGGTACAGCAGAGGATATGCTCTCCCAAGATGAGGCAGCAAAACAAGAAAGGAAACTAGAGAACTAAAAAGGGAAGCTCCACTCCAAAAGAGGTTAAAGGAAGTGATGGTAGTAACAGGGAATGAAGGGACTGGCAAGGCTCAACAGCAGTCAGTTCAGAGGGGAGCAAAGGAATGAGGGCTCCGGCACTGACCTCTTGGAGCAATCAGTACAAATCACAGCCTACCTGGTGTGTGGGGTGCGAGCAGGAAATGCACACCTCTGTCAGGTTTGGGGACTGAATTGTGGACAGATACACAGAAGGCTAAGAGGATCTATAACTCCAGGGGGAACAAAGGGTCAGGCATAAAAGCTCAATGTAATCACAAAAGCTCATCCACCGCACAGTTGTAAGTATTTTCATGGTCTTTATCATGCTGACATAGCCAAATTGTGGCAGAACTTTTAGGAGAGAAAAGGACGAAGATCTGTGCTTGGAATAGGGCTGGGGAAAAGATTAGAGAGTCAAGTTATCAGCTTCCATAGGAAGAAATTAATAGATAATACCTGGAGGCAAAAAAAAAAAATCAATAATTTAACCACATTATTTGGAGCTATTGAGGTTAATACCAGAAGAAGCTGTTCAAAGTGCTGCCCTTGCTGCCTCTAAGAAGAGAAAGCTAGAGTGACTTGGATGGCTGGTTTTACTTCTGAGCCCATCAGAAGCCTTTGGACTTTTTTGCTATGCACCCAAATACAGGGAGAAAGGAGGAGAGGGAGGGGAAGAGAATATAAAAAGATGTGTGTTGTGTGTGTGCCAACTCCCTCTCCACGATGGACATAATCATCATGTACTACAAACATGTACTAATAAAATTACAAATGTTTTAAATTAGATACATAAAATGCTCTAGTATAAAAATAAATAAAAATACCAAATCAAATAAT